GACGATTGCCAAAAGGCTTTTGACAAGATTAAAGATTATCTATCAAAACACCCTATACTGGTCCCACCTGAACCTGGTAGGCCTTTGTTTTTATATCTATCAGTGATGGATAATTCCTTTAGATGCGTTCTGGGGCAACATGATGCAACAGGCAGAAAGGAACATGCAATATATTATTTGAGCAAGAAGTTCACCGATTATGAGGTTAGGTACACCCTTTTAGAAAGGACATGTTGTGTCTTGACTTGGGTCGCTCAAAAGTTGAGACATTATATTTTGGCCTACACTACTTACCTCATATCCATAATGGATTCCTTGAAGTACATCTTCCAAAAGCCAATGCCCACTGGCAGGCTCGCAAAATGGCAAATCCTGCTCACAGAGTTTGACATCGTCTATGTCAATCGCACCGCGATGAAAGCACAAGCTTTGGCAGATCATTTGGCAGAGAATCCAGTTGATAATGAGTACCTGCCACTTAGCACATACTTCCCGGATGAAGAGGTCAACTTGATAGAGGAAGTGGTTCCAGACGATCACCCTGTATGGAAAATGTATTTTGATGGGGCTGTCAATATCAAAGGAGTTGGGATCGGGGCAATCCTCATCTCACCTATTGGACACCATTACCCTGTGATGGCCCGCCTTCGGTTCTTCTATACTAATAATACGGCAGAATATGAAGCTTGTATCATGGGTTTGAAAATGGTCATCGATCTGGATGTGCATGAACTATTAGTTATGGGAGATTCTGACTTGCTTATTAGGCAAGCCCAAGGTGAATGGGAGACTTGAGACATCAAATTTATTCCATACAGACAATGTGTGCGAGACTTGAGCAAAAGATTCAAATCTATCGAGTTCAGGTACATTCCCCGGTTTCACAATGAGCTAGCTGATGCATTGGCTACTCTAGCCTCGATGCTCCCTTATCCAGGCAACACTCATATTGATCCACTAGAAATCCAAGTTCGGAATCAACACGATTACTGTAATACATTCGAGACAGAACCAGATGGTGAACCATGGTATCATGACATAAAACGATTCCTGAAAACAAGAGAATATCCAGAGCATGCGAAAGGAGATCAAAAAAGAACTATAAGGCGACTCGCCAGTGGTTTCTTCCTGAATGGGGAAATTCTGTACAAGAGGACCCCAGATTTAAACTTGTTGAGATGCATAGATGCTACAGAAGCAGAGCGGATCATGAGTGAAGTGCATTCAGGGGTATGCGAACCTCACATGAATGGATATATTTTGGCGAAGAAGATTCTACAGGCAGGGTATTACTGGCTTACCATGGAGTGAGATTGCTTCAGATTTGTTCGCAAATGTCACCAGTGCTAGATTCACGGTGACCTGATTCACTCGCCTCCTTCGGAGTTGCATCCCATGTCCTCTCCTTGGCCTTTCGTTGCTTGGGGAATGGATGTTATTGGGCCGATCGAGCCAAAGGCTTCAAATGGGCATAGATTCATTTTGGTTGCAATTGATTACTTCACCAAGTGGGTGGAAGCCGTCACTTTCAAAGCAGTCACCAAGAAAGCAGTGGTAGACTTTGTTCACTCCAACATCATTTGTCGCTTTGGTGTCCCAAAGACCATTATCACTGACAATGCAACCAATCTAAATAGTCATTTGATGAAGGAGGTATGCGAACAATTTAAAATCATGCATCGCCATTCTACCCCTTACCGGCCAAAAGCCAATGGAGCAGTTGAAGCGGCAAACAAGAACATCAAGAAGATTCTTAGGAAGATGATCCAAGGTTCCAGGCAATGGCATGAAAAGTTGCCTTTTGCTCTTTTAGGATACCGTACGACTGTTCGCACATCTGTTGGCGCAACTCCGTATCTGCTTGTATACGGAACTGAAGCTGTAATACCCACTGAAGTTGAAATTCCCTCTCTCCAAATTATTGTGGAATCAGAGATTGAAAACACTGAGTGGGTCAAGACTCGATTAGAACAACTGATGTTGATCGATGAAAAACGGCTAGCAGTAGTGTGTTTCGTCCAGTTATACCAACAAATAATGGCACGCGCTTACAATAAGAAAGTGCGCCCAAGGCAGTTTGAGGTAGGCCAGCTAATTTTGAAACGCATCCTTCCGCACCAGGTAGAAGCTAAAGGAAAGTTCGCCCCGAACTGGCAAGGACCCTACACCATCAAGAAAGTGTTACCAAAAGGGGCCTTGCACTTGGTAGATGAAGAAGGGCAGGTACCAGACATGACTATTAACGCAGATGCAGTCAAAAGATATTATGTCTGATATATACCCATTGTAGAATTTTCACGCATTGATTTTCTCAGATTGAAGTGGCGAAGGCTATCATTTGCTCACTATTCCAAATAAGTGTCACCCTTTTTGTTAATCCTTTTGAGTCGTATTTGTCTTCCTTGTTTATCACTTCTTGGAACTTGTGTACTTGTAAAAAAAACAACAACAAATCTCTGAGTCATTGAACTACGTCCGACCTGATTCCAAAAGGATACGTAGACAGCCTTACCCTGGGTTCGGTCCCATTAGAACAAAAAATCCATATTCCCAATACTCCAAAACTGGAGCAAAAATTTGTTTTATTTCACGGGTTTTTCTGTAAAAATGATTCCAAAAGTTGTAATTCAGTTCAAGGTTCATTTCGCCTTTTTATCTTTCAAGAACTTCTGATCGATGTTTTTTAAGAATGATTGAAGTCCCCATGCCAGAGGCATTGGATAACCTCCCTCATATAGTATCTTAGTCAAAAAAAGAAAGAAATGAGAGAGTCTTATCAGTGAAAACCCGTACGGGCACTATAAGGCGATAGTGAGTAGAGAAATGAGAGAGTCTTATTGGTAAAAACCCATATGGGCACCATAAGGTGACAATTAGTAGAGAAATGAGAGAGGTTAGTTAGCGAAAACCTGCAATGGGCGCTACTAGCTGAATAAGGGTCTTTGATTCTCCGGCATGAGCACAACCAAGACAAAACATTTGTGGCGGATTTTGAGAATTAGACAGATCATACATCCAGTCCAAAATGCATGTCATGATTCATTAAAGTCGGCACATACCTTCAGATAAGTCTCCCTATTCCTTTTCCCGAAAGGGACACCTTTTGTTTAAGCACAATTCTTTTTCGCTTCCAATTATTATTCTGTTTTTACCTATAATTTTTCTTTGAGTCACCTTCGGTCTAATCCTGCATCAAAATCGAAGCAAAGAAAGGGCTGCAACACTGGCTACAGCTTCCCCGTAATGTCGAGCACAATTTGGGGCATATATGGCATTGACGAAGGCACAAATCCATCTCTGATCTCATTCGATAAGACAAATAAAGTGTCTAAAAAAAGAGCTGAAAAGGTCGCCTAAGCAAGACCTGCTTTATGAGAAAAGTTGATGAGCACTACGGACACAAACTGATACTGGGGTAAGACAACCGAGTTTGATTTTAGAGAAAAATGCATTGCCTTAGAGAAAAGGGTAGTGGTACCATGGACATCTGGGTATGAAACAGTTGGGGGCAATATTGTGAAGCCAAGGTCTCTAGAAAATGATACAGAGCGGCATAACATTTCGGTACCACGCTGACAGAATCAGTTCTTCAACAGCAATGGTCGTGAATTAAGCTACTCAGGGCATTAAGGCCATAAACCAACCACCACTTTAAAAACTCACTAGTTTTTCTTTGTTTAAAGTAGGAACAAAGTAGTGCAGAATGTCCGTCCTAAGTGAACGAATGTCACCAAACGTAAGATCCTTAAAATCTCCATTTTTCTTTTATTTTCAGCATGCATCACTATTGTTCACACCTCCTATTTCTGAAGCTTAACTCAGGTAGAACCGTTTCGCCTAGGGGGATCCAGCTCATAGTTTCCGGGTAAAAGTACTCTTCACTCAGGGTGTTTTCTGAAGCTTAATTCAGGTAGAACCGTTTCGCCTAGAGGGATCCAGCTCATAGTTTTCGGGTAGAAGTACTCTTCACTCAGGGTGTTTTACATAGCTTAACCCAGGTAGAACCATTTCTCCTATAGGGATTCAGCTCAGAGTTTCCGGGTAGAAGTACTCTTCGCTCAGGGTGTTTTACGTAGCTTAACCCAGGTAGAACCGTTTCGCCTAGGGGGATTCAGCTCATAGTTTCCGAGTAGAAGTACTCTTCGCTCAGGGTGTTTTACGTAGCTTAACCCAGGTAGAACTGTTTCGCCTAAGGGGATCTAGCTCATAGTTTCCGGGTAGAAGTACTCTTCACTCAGGGTGTTTTACGTAGCTTAACCCAGGTAGAACCGTTTTGCCTAGGGGTAGCTCATAGTTTCTGGATAGAAGTACTCTTCGCTCAGGGTATTTTACGTAGCTTAACCCAGGTAGAACAGTTTCGCCTAGGGGGATCTAGTTCGTAGTTCCGGGTAGAAGTAATCTTCGCTCAGGTTGTTTAAATATAGTTTAACTCAGATCGAACCGTTTCGCCTAGAGGGATTCAACACTTTATCGATAATACATGGTGCTAACACCCGATTCTATTCCTTTCCAGTAAGAGAGGGTACTAGCCTATGATTACATTTACTTTCAGTTGCACAAGGTACCGATCCCTGGTTAAACTATCCTTCATTACCAAATTTTATCTCTTTCAGCTAGTTTATACTACTGTTTCTATCTGCCTTTTCAATAAATTAAATAATTTACAGATTTCTCTAATAACTCACAAAAATTTCCTAGTGCCAGACTAGGGCAGAAAAATTTTGTTCGTTTTTGTTTGTCTTTGATGGCTTTGCAGGCTCTGCCGTATAACACAAGTGACGATTAAAGCTTGCAGTTTCAGTTTCTCATCAGAAGAAAGAAATCCTTCAAACACAAGATAGTCGGAGTTTAGCTTTGATAATGTGTCAGCAGCCCAGCTTCTCAAGATTCATCTTCTCAAATTCTGATCCAGAAAGCAAGCCATCGAGATTGAGTCATAAACTTTTCTTCAAAAGAATTAAGATCCAATCTAAGGTCAACATAAGCGAGCAGGTCAAGAATCAAGATTTGACTCTAGAAGACACGTGGATAGGAATTTTTGTACTCTTAGTTTGCAGACAAATGTAGTGCTCTTCTCTTTTTCTTTTGATGTAAGAAGCAGTAACGGTAAGAGTAACAGCAACAGCAGCGGCAACAACAACAGTCTTAACTCCAGTGTCTGGTAGTCCCACCTACCAAATTTTCCCAGAACTACACTGACTTAATTCCTTTATAGCCAAGGATATGTAGGCAACCTCAGAAGCATGGTTCTTTCACCACCATTTTCAAAATGCTTCCACTAGAGTGAATGTAAGCAAAAAATTATCCATGGCATTTATTTGTCTTTGCACGAAAACTCTTCATGTTCTCGAGCAAAGAGGGGCAGCTGTAAATGCCTAATTTTTGCCTTATATATATATATATAATATGTATGTGTATGTGTGTTTGTTCTTATTTGTATATGTATATATTTTAAGAGTTGAGTAATGGTTTGATAAATAGGGTAGGGTTTTGGCTAGTGTAATTTAATTAAAATTGTGCCAAAATTGGCCCAAAATTTGAGCCCAAAGAGCCCAAGCCCGGTCCAAAAGGGGGCTGCCAAGAAGAGCTTAAAACGATGTAGTTTTGTCTTGAAACTACGTCGTTTTGGTTAAGTGACAAAATTCAATCTCATCCACCCATCTTGATTTAATCCAACGGTCTTAGTTTGATCTTCATCCTAGGTATTTAAAGCCTAAAATCCCCAAAAATTTGCCATATTTCCCCATTATTTCCTCTCTCTTCTTTCTCTCTCATCACTCTCTCTTCTCTTTCCCCCCAAGCCGCTGCCGCCGCCCCACCGCCACCGGCTAGAAATCGCCGCCGCCGGCGGACCACCTCCAAACACCTCCAAATTTACACCATGTAATCTCCACAACTTCCTCTTTCCATATCTCCAAACCAAATCCTTCAAAAATCCCTCAAACTCCTTGAATCTTTTTTTTTGGTAATTATATTTTCATTAATCACCAAAAGAGGCCTTTACAAATAAGTAGATTCATCCTCGAATCACTTACTCTTTACATGATATCTAAGTCTACCTATTCTATGAGCAGTACATAAGGAAATTATACAAAAGGCTGATTAGTTGCTACATTGCTTTCAAAATCTAAGCTGTTGTAATCTTGCTCTCATTCCTCCTTGAGCTCGGATGTTACAAACACATGTCATTTCTCTTGCTACCTGCTCTGTTGTCCTGCTTGACCCCTCAAATATTCTACTATTTCTCTCCCTCCAAAGCCCATAGACATATTCTGCATATACCATTTTCAGAAGTCTGGCTGCACATGACTTCCCCTTAGCTTTTGTTGTTATCCATGCCATCTTCTGTGCATAATCATGGTTGGTATTAACCTGAATTTGTAGTCATTGTATAAGTCTTCCCCATACTGCTTTGGCAAAACTACACTCACCAAACAAATGTGTGTGTGTTTCATTTGTTCCATTGCACAAACAGCACATTGTATTCACTTGTATTCCCCATTTTGCAAGTCTATCTGTTGTCATTAATCTGCCATGGCATTGCATCCACATGGTAAATCTTGCTTTAGGCCTAGCATCATTGTGAAACATTAAAGCTCTCCAAGTCACCCTACTATGATTTCCCAGCATGCCTAGATATATCTGCTTGGTGCTACTCTGATTGAGTTGCGCTGTAGGCAGTTGTTGAATTATCCCTCTAGCCTCTATGATCGTTTTCACCATCCAACTGGCCTGTTGGGGTATGTCCATCTCCATTATGCTTTGACTTTTTATGTAGTAAGTATGTATCCATTTCATCCACATCTTATCTTTTTTCTTTGCCAAATCCCAATAGACTTTACTGATAGCAGCTCTATTCCATATTCTAATGTTCAAAAGATTATATCCTCCATCAGATATAGGTAAACACATTCTATCCCATGCTATCAAAGTTCTCTTGGTAATTGTATTAGCACCAGCCCAAATATAGCTTCTGCAATATGATTCAATCAGACTCATCACCTTAGCCGGGATAATGAATATTTGAGACCAATAGGATTGAATCCCAAAAATGATTGTTTGGACTAACTGTACCCTACCAGCATAAGATAACTTTCTAGTAGTCCAAGATGAAATTCTTGCAACTATTCTGTCAATCAGTGGTTGCCATTGCATAGCTGTTATCTTCTTTGTATCCAGGGGAATGCCTAAGTATTTGAAAGGTAACTCCCCAAGTGAGTGTAAGCACGTGATTTTTGACCTTCCCCGAGGATTTTCACATTTTTTTAGCATAAATATGTAATTGGGTCTAATATAGTCATTTTA